AAGAATAATCTGTGCACATACATCACTTACCTGCAGGACAAAATATTTGGGGCTCTTTTTAAGATGCTTGGCACTATGTGAGGCAGGCTGGCTAAATGATCAAAACTGAACCGTTCTTGTTCAGTGAGCTGCTTCATGTGTGTGAGATGAAATATTTCTATTGGTCTTCTCTAAACATTATAGGTAACACATCTCTGTTGTCTCATATGACATACTCATCCTTCTTATGATAATCAGTGTACCCTAATTGTACAGTACTAAGCGTACGGCCTGTACCTTATACAGTGTACTGATAGCCTAGTAGACAACCGTACAGCATGTTAATTAAGTTGGGCGTAAGCTGTGAAATTCTGAAAGGATATTTTAATTTTTTTTTAAAGGAAAATCAGAAGAAAACTATTTCCAGTGTGGGGGATAACTTGAATAACTGTGCACATAAATACTTGTTCTCAGCAGAACGGCTGAATTTTATTATTCTCTTCATGGACTATTACATGGGTGAAGTGTGATCTTTTGTGTATTTTATCCTTGCAGCAGCCCTGTTGAAATAGATGATACTGAATTAAAGTGATTTCCTGAGGCTGCCAATTGCGCCTCATGGCTGAGCAGGGATATTATCCAGAATGTTGGAATTGCTGTATGTGCCAGCTTTGTTAAACCCCATAAATCAAATGCATTCTTGCATCACTGGCATCTTTCTTTAAAAAATATATTCTGAGTTTGCATTATATTGCTAAAGCACGGTGATAATGTACTAAGTACTACAAGACACCTCTGAAGGTGAACAGAACAAGAGGAGATTGGATTTATACGCCGCCCTTCACTACCCGAAGGAGTCTCAGAGCGGTTTACGATCTCTTTTCCCTCCCCCTCCCCACAGCAGACACCCTGTGAGGTAGGTGGGGCTGACAGAGCTCTTTCAAGAACTGCTTGTGAGAGAACAGCTCTGAGAGAACTTGTGACTGACCCAAGGTCATGCCAGCAGCTGCATGTGGAGGAGCGGGAAATCAAACCCAGTTCTCCCAGATTAGAGTCCGCACTCCTAACCACTACACCAGACTGGCTCTCTCAAGTGTGTCATAGGTCCCCCCCCCCCAGTTGCCTTTTAAATTGAAACTTAATGTGCATCACAATAACTATAACTATTTTCTCCCCATAGAGCAATGAAATGTACACAATTATACTCAGGGGTCAAAAGTGGGCCGGCAGACAGGTCTTGAGCAATCAGTGGCTCATCCTTACTTAGTTTCAGTGGGAACTTATTATGAATAGAAGGAGCATGGGATTAATTGCCCAAGTTCTGACCCTAGGTCAGTGGTGGCGAACCTATGGCACGGGTGCCAGAGGTGGCACTCAGAGCCCTCTCTGTGGGCACGCGTGCCATCGCCCCAGCCAGGCCCAGACCATCATTAAAGTGTTGAATTCTCTGCCAAATAATTTTAAGTCAATGAAAGCATTTGGGATTGCTTTCCTTACTTTGTTTGGATCATCTTAAGTTAATGTATGAGTTGTTTTTTCTAAAGTAAAACCTCAGTATTCAGATTAAATTGCCGTGTTGGCACTTTGTGATAAATAAGTGGGTTTTGGGTAGCAGTTTGGGCACTAGGTAATCAAGTCCTTAGAAGACATTGTATTCCTCAAAAGGGATGCTCCAGGAGTCATGCCCAATGGTACCATTGTTCCCTTTTCATTCAAAGGGAGAAACATCACCTGTAAGTTTTGCATCTCAAGAAGTATCTCTGCTCACAAAGAGTTTTTTCGGGGAGGGGATGAGAAAAAGCAGCCACTGCATGGGAAAGAAGGACACAGAAGGAGGACTATAAATGAAGAAAACTTGCATTGTGCAGTTCCCTGGTTGTGATAAGCAGCTATTATGATCTCATTCCCCAGTGTGGAGAATCTTTCAGGCAAGGCTGCAGCTGTGCGAGGGTTAGGGTTAAAAGTGTTTGAAAGCTCCCCGAGTGAAATAAAGCTTAACTGGATGAGTTAAAGAGCTTTAGCGTACTGGAGCCTAAGCAGGTGAAAGGTCAGAGCTCTGGCTTGCGTGTGCGGGATCAGGACTTAAATATTGGCAGCTCAGCTTTAAGAGGCGTGGAAGATGGAAATGACCCCAGCTGACACAATGTGGCTACAGTATGGATTGTTTCTTTGGAAAGCAGCGAGTCCTTCTGTTAAATACTATTAAGTACACCCTCTTTAGAAAGAAGAGGGAGTTCAGTCAGACTTCAGCTTGAACCTGTAAATGGTTACGAAGCACAGTGCTAATTTAATTTCTTAAGGTGTCCAGCAAATTTTGAAATTTGTGTTAAAATTCTCCTTTGGTCTTTGATTTACTCAAGAACTCTTATAACCAATGCTCTCTTAAGCTGTGGAGTCTTGTGAGCAAAAATTCTACTTTGTGAGCTGCTGGCATTAAAGTTGTGAAGCGAGCGATTTGGCTGCTGCATAAATTAGTTTGCTCTGGAGCCCTCCTTCTTCCCGAGTTAAGACAAAAATGTGAGCTGGAGGCTACAAAACTGTGAGCTGGCTCACACTAACTCAGCTTAGAGGGAACACTGCTTATAACCACCACCATCTTTGGTGAGAGAGGTGGTGGGGAAGCAATCCATGCTTGGGAATGAGAGCAGGGTTTTAAACTTGTAGTCAGAGTCCAGTGAAACAAAATCCTCACTCCACGTCCTGAGCTTATAGCCTCCTTTTGCAAGGCTTTAATGACTGTATTTTGTGCTTTGGAGCAAAGGCATGCCCTTTGAGCCGCGTATGTGGAGGATTACATTGTACAGAGATGAAGTAATAGGCATTCAAGACGGCTCAGTGTTTATGTTAGAGAAGCTGCGTTAGAAGGAGCCGAACCTGATAATTAAAAATGTCTCCAAGTAACCATTAGCTGCCCTTGAGCTGGAGTAGCCGAGGCTGCAGTTCCCACTCTACTCAGGCTAGCAGCCATACAGTATCGTCCTCCTGGTTTACAAACAAGCAGCGTGAGTTCGGTCTTTTCCTCCTAAAGTGTGCATCGAAGCCTTGTTTTTGTGGTCATTTTTGCCCTGATTGCTTCTAAGGGGATTGTTAAGTTCAACTTTGGACTTGCTGCTTGGTGGATGTGAAGAAAACCCCCAAGGCTGAAGATAAGGGGCTGCCATGTGTTCGTTCCCTTCCTTCTGTAGAAGGCTTGCAATGAGACCAGAGCAGGTGCTAAAAAGGTGGTTTTCAGGACAGGCTTAGACATGCTGTTCTCCTCTAATAGGAAGCAGCATTAATATTAACTGCCGGCGGCAAATCTGAGTCCATGGTGGGAGTACTGTTTTGAGAGGCTCTCTCTTGACCATTTTATAAACAAAGAATGGTAGAATACTTATTTTGTAGTGCACTCGCACATCACATGTTTTACAGTTTTGTGCCCCTCTCCTGCTTCTGGCATCCATGAAAGCTATAAGCAGAGGTGTCTTCGTTTGGAGTTTGGAGATGCCACACAGGGATCTGTTTTGCTGTAGTCCTAGCATCCTTACATTGAGATCTCAATATGTGGCTTAAACTTGTGGTTTACTTTTGAAAACTGTACTCTGATGGCGAACCTATTAGAGACCGAGTGCCCAAACTGCGACCCAAAACCCACTTATTTATCGCAAAGTGCCAACACGGCAATTTAACCTGAGTACTGAGGTTTTACTTTAGAAAAAACAACTCATACATTAATTTAAGATGATCCAAACAAAGTAAGGAAAGCAATCCCAAATGCTTTTATTTACTTGAAATTATTTGGGAGAGAATTCGACACTTTAATGGTGGACTGGGCCTGGCTGGGGTGATGGCACGCGTGCCCACAGAGAGGGCTCTGAGTGCCACCTCTGGCACCTGTGCCATAGGTTCGCCACCACTGCTCTAGGCATTCTGGGGCCCTAATGAAGGTTTTAATGTCTGCTGGTTTTTGTGTAAGCTGCTAATGACCATGCTGAGTGTAAGAAGTGAGAGGAACTATAACACCAGTTTCTCCCAAGATGGAACAGAACAGTGTCAATATTCTGCCCAGGTGAAAATAGCTCTGGCAGACTTCCTGGAGAAGTCTGTAGTACTTTACTATGGCATTCCCCCCCCCCCCAGCAGATACATACAAGATTCTCAAACTTCCCTGTTCCTTGTTGGAAAGCAGCAATGCTTGTTTTGATAAATCAATTCTCGGAAAGGTGGAAGAGTCAGGCTTTTGGATTCCCTGAGGGGCATCTTTGCTAAAATTACTTAAATGATTGTTAGAGTCGGTGCTTGAGCTTTTAAAAATAAATGTGGTCAAATATGTAAAGAGTGACTGTGTTAGAACTATACTAAAAACAAAATCCTGCCATTTCTCAAAGATGCGTGATTCAGTCCCTTCCTCAAGCTTTAGAGAACGCCAGATGAGAGCACAACCCCTTTTCATACAGGAAACGAGAGGAAGTCCTGAAGCTGTGATCCTTATGTTCTGTGTAGGGTTATCTTCTGTCCTGTGTTTGTTTGTGTGTTTGTTTTTTAAACAAGGGTTTTGTGTGTTTGGTATGTGTTACAGTTCTCCAGAGATGCCAGCTACTGAACTAAAGAGTTAGTTGGAGGCATTAGCCCATGTAGATGAATTTGGAAGGGGTGTGTGGCAAACACATCAGGGGGGAGTTCTTAGAGCAAGGGTTTCTTATCTCTAAATGTAGGGGTATGCATTTGTAAACTGAGTCTCTCTGTCCCCTAACCAGACAGGGGGAAAGAGGTCGTTTACTTCTGCCAGTGCTACTAGGTGGATCTTACGATGTTGCATAATGTCTCTTGATTTCTACAATACTTGCTTGGTAATTGACTAAGATCCCCACTCTAAATTTGATTTAGCTCGCTCTTGGAAGAAAGAGAATCATAGAGTCTAAAGGGACCTCCAGGGTCATCTAGTCCAACCACCTGCACAATGCAGGAAATACACAAATATAGCTACTACACACACACACACACACACAGACCCAGCGATTGCTGTTCCACGCCCAGAATAGAATGATTTTATTTCATTAACCACTAAACCTGTGTGTTTTTGTTTTGTTCTTTAGGGCTGCAGAGTCCTGGTTGATGCACGGGACAAACTAGGGATCCCTTGGGAGTTCTCGGAGAATGAGAAGCACGGGATGTTTCTAATGGCCTTTGAAAGCAAAGCCGGGATGCCCATCGAACCTTCCACGTTCCAGTTGTACGTACCTGCCCTGAGTGGCCTGTGGAAGGATTCTGGAATTAAGGAGTCTTTTAGCCGTCGGAGTGAATATCAGCTGGTGAGTACATCAGGCTGTGCTGAATAAAAAGCAGTTATCAGCAGTGTTCCCTCTAAGCTGAGTTAAGTGTGAGCTAGCTCACAGTTTTTTAGCCTCCGGCTCACGCATTGTTGTCTTAGCTCAGGAAGGATGGCTCCAGAGCAAAAGGATTTATGTAGTAGCCAAATCAGTCGCTCACAACTTTAATGCCAGCAGGTCACAAAGTAGAATGTTTGCTCACAAGACTCCACAGCTTAAGGGAACATTGGTTGTCAGAGTGCTCTAGTTGAAGGAGTGGTCATCCTCCCCGCATGCTGTCATAGTTCTATCAATACACTGTAATAGGCAAGATGGGTAGCTGTTAGTCTGTCTGTAGCAGTATTAAGAAGTGAGCAGTGACTCACAAAAGCTCATATCTAGCCACAAGTTTTGTTAGTCTTTAAGGTGCTACTGGACTCCCCCTCTTTTCTACTGTGACAGGCAGTAACTTGAAGCAAAAATGAAAAACGTGTACTAAGCAATGAGCTGCTTTGGCAGATGGGAAAAGTGGGATGCATATATATTAATAAGTAAGTAGACTAGACGAAGGAGCTGCGGTGGCTCAAGTGGTTAAGACGCTGAACTGCAGGCTGTGGAAGGTCGGCCGTTCAGCAGTTCGAGACCCGAGTGTGCCACATGACGGAGTGAGCTCCCGTCTCTAGTTCCAGCTCCTGCCAACCTAGCAGTTCGAAAGCAAGACATTGCAAGTAGATAAATAGGTATCACTTCGGTGGGAAGGTAACAGTGTTCCGTGCGCCTTGGTGTTTAGTCATGCTGGCCACATGACCACGGAAACGTCTTCAGACAGCGCTGGCTCTTCGGCTTTGAAGCGGAGATGAGCACCGCACCCCTAGAGTCGGACTCAACTGGCTTTCGAGCAAGGGAACCTTTACCTTTACCTTTAGACTAGATGAGTCAATGAAGGTTAACAGATGTAGGCCTTAGAGGAAGCCTTTTCAGTTCTATTTCAGCCAACATGGTCTTTTGCATAATTTCCCATATTTTATTACCATATGCTAGCTGCAGAAAAATTTAGCAGGCAGCTTACTAAAATCTGCTGGCTTAATCTAGGTGTGATAAATCAGCAATACGTAGGTGTTGTTGCTGGGTCATTCCTTCTCAGCTTTGTAGTCTGTCTTTGTTGAAGTACTGCATCCTCACCCTGCTGGCCCCTTCATGTGCATATGTAATCTTGCATGCGTTCTGAACTCTTGAACCAGCATTTGGTACTGGGGAGTTTGAATAGAATGGGGGGGGGGTTGCTTTGTGGTTTTTTTAGACGCAAGCTGCACACGTGAGTTTTCCTCTGTGCTTCTCAGGAATGGGCCCCTGTCCATCTTTCCAACAAAGGTATAATAAACAGAGATATAATTTTTGTTCTTCTAAGACCTCCTCAACTATCCATTATATTGTATTTAACTAGTAATTAGTTTTTAGTCATTTATGGTAGCACATTTAACAATTCTTTGTTATCCAGGGTTCTGTACTGGTCTAAGACGGTAATAAAAATCTGATCTGACCTTCTCCTCAAGAGTATCTTTGCTGAGCTCCCCCCCCCCCCCCCCTAGACAGTTGTCACTGAAAACGAGAACTAAACCTTTGCTGGAAACTTTCTTACAAGAGTCCAGAATGCTTCAGAGCAGCTGGAATATCAGCCCTGTGTTAGCAAACCTAGTTTTTCAATAAGTAGTTTAATCTTCCCCCTTTTTTTTTACAATAAGTATTAAATTGTGGATTGATGCCTAGGTCTCCAGGAACAGAAGGGGGTCATGTTGCACAGGTGCCCTGTTCCAGCCTCTCCCAAGTCTGGCACACGTTTGCTGCTGGTTTGTGATGACAGTGAGCCAGATTGTGTCACTATTAGCTTTTGCTGCAAGCTCCATCCAACATGACTGCAGTTAGAGCTGCCGTTGCAGTATGCAGAATGGCCAGGATTCAGGAGAAGAGCGGATGGAGCTGCAGAATAAGTTGCGCCTGTGTGGCTCTCAGCTTAATGGCGCCGGTATCCACCAAACTACAATTTATGTACCAGGCATCTGCCAGAACGATGAATCTGTCTCAAAGCAACCTTTCTGTTCAACTGTCTAAAGCCGAGAGTTGCTGACATACGAACCGTTCCGCTTGGTAAGTGTAAAGATAGTGATGTCATTTATTAGGAGCACGATGGCTTGCGTTAATTGAAAAATGACTTTGGTAAGACAGGAGCTGTATGTAAGCATGTGTTGTTGACATTCTGCTTAGCACCCAATTCATCAAAGTTCTGGCTGTGATTTCTTGTCTGGGGACCTTGAGACTTCCAGCGCTGTGTGGGTGGGTTCTACAATAGCAGTATTTTCTGTGCTTTCCTCTCCCTTTGCATGAAGCACACTGAACCAGTTCTCCCCCATCTGTGTCTCCTGGGAAGTCCCACTGTCTCTTCTGCGCAGACAAGTCTGTGAGTGACAGAAGCTTCATTGTGTACGCCTGCTATCTTGTCAAGTTTCTGTCGTCTCTCTTTTTTTGAGTGGGGGAAGAGCAGAATAAAAATTCTTTTGAAATAAGTATGTAGCTCTGTTCCCCAGCCCCCGTGTTTTCAGTAGTCTGTGTATTTGAAAGGAATCTGTCTAAATAGAACCTACTTTCTTAGACCTCTTCCATTCCTACCCAAGTTACAGAGAGAGATCTCGAATGGTAGGCAGATTATGGATGGTATTTTTGAATGCTTAACTAGGTTTTTCATGTTTTTGCTGGATCGGGTAATGCTTCTTTATTATGTAGCACTTGCGGGTGTTCAAAGCACTTCTAATTCTCCCTTCCCTGGACCATAGCTCAAGGCTGATGATTTCATGGTTCAGAACTAACTACGGTTTGCTGTTGGGTAGCCCTGTTGGTCTGGAGCAGGTAACAGCCTTGCTTAACGTAACAGCCACACAGGATAAACGTCAGATGTTTGAGAGCCGCAAGATATGAACAAATGTCACACGTGCGTTTCTATATGGAAAATATGCAAATTTGCTTTTTATGAACATTGAATTAGACTGTGTGAAAGAGCCGCATGCGGCTCCCGAGCTGCAGTTTGGCCACCCCTGGTCTGGAGCAACAGAATAAAGTTCGAATTCAGTGGCACCTTTAAGACCAATGAAGTTTAATTGTGGGTATAAGCTTTCACGTGCATGCACACTTCTTTGCAAAACTGTGCATGCACATGAAAGCTTATACCCAGAGTTACATTTTGTTGGTCTTAAAGGTGCCCCTGGACTCAAACAGTGTTTTACAGTTTCCTGTAATGTCTGAGTTCTGTAAAACAAATAAAAAAGCAGTCCTCTTACTTACAGACTGGGCTCATGAAACAGAATCCTGGTTTGTAAACCAGAGAACAAACCAGTTTATCATTTTGTCTGATTTGGATGTAGCTGCACACTCTAAGTTTTGGGGTGCGCATGAATCCGAAGGGCATCATTGCTGAGGCTGTGAGAGAGCTATATCCGACATCTTCAGTTAGCGAAGAAAGAACAGGAACATATTTTTAAGAGGGAATGGTGGCCAGAAGGAGGAAGCATGAAAATAGAATAAGGATAGTAGGTGCAGAGCTTTCTGAGATTTATGAAGGCAAGTTGGTACTTCATCGAACAGGGAATGAAACTACGTGACTCGAGGGATTATGAGAAGAGGGGTACTGAATTGTCAGGCTGTCGTCCTTACCCTCAAGTAGAAGGATCCTGCTGTGGTGTGGTAAACCTAAAGTTCTGTTTGCTTATTCTGTATGTGGGCTAGTGTGTTGGTTCTTCTGTTGAATGGAAAAGAGCAGTGTTTCAGCTTGATCAAAGTGGGAGGTAGGTGGGGCTTTGAGGCTTTTGGGGCCAGGGCAGAAGCTTCATAAGTCTTCCACACTTTAAAAACTTGCTCTTGTGTTGAGTTGTATTTTTAAGGGCTCACTTTATCTTTAGAGCTCACTGCGCTCAAAACTAAGATGAGAGTGGGGGCCTCAGCCAAAGTTCCCCAGATCATGTTTGGTGTGCTGTTGGTGAGTCAACTTCTTAGCAAAGCCGGAGGCAGGTTTGCTGGAAAACTGGTGACCCATTCCTAGAGATGTAAAATTTCTGGAAATTTTGAAGCTTGGAAAAAAACCCGTCTTTTTTCAGGGGGAAATGGAAATTTTCAGAAAAATTGGAAAAAAAT